GCTGTTTGCCTTTGCTCTACCAAATCCTTAACAGCCGCGCTGTAGCCAGTCGCCATTCACGCCTTTGTGCTGTCAACAACATCTAAACGCATCATTTGTACTGCAGCAAACCATCCCGGTATGTATCCAATACCAAATGTTTGGCGACTCCTAAACAAAAAAACAAAAAAAAAAGGAAAAAGGAAAAAAAAAAGGAGAAGGAGGAGGGCTAATGCATAATTTGGTAGAAAACATTTTACAAAACATTTGGTAATAAGAAAAAAAAAAAACAAAAAAAAAAACGTCGGCATTGGCCCTGAGGCTTAAAGCAATTAATTCAGGATCCTGACATAAACTCTCCAATCCTTTGACAGCTTGGAGCCGAAATAAAAATGCTAGTTCTCCTGGGAACGGCAGGAGATAGCTGGCTCTTTTCTGGACTGTTTGCTCACTGGCCCTGAGAGCAATCTTCCCCAGTCAGAATGAAATGCAAGGACACAAACAATGTACCGACGAGAGAATAGGAGATGGGGAATGAACAGTTTGGACTATTTGCTCAGCAGAAGGGCAGCCACAATGGCCGGCCCATGGCTTTCCCATGCATCAAGCCTCTTAGTCGTAGGCCTCCCTTTGTTGCCTGGTTTCTTCTTCCCTGGCCAGATAAGAGCCCAGCTGCCCTATACTTTTAATTCCCATTGTACACCATACTGTATGGTCATTTATCTGTCTACTTTTTGCCTGTAGTGGTGGGTGTTGTCTAATTGAACAGGTTATCGCATGTGTATCTCTGTTGCCTGCATGTGTGCTCGTTTAAGGTTGAATCGCTCCCCACTTTGCTATAAAAGGCAGGGTTTAGGCCGGGGTTGGGGGGTATAAGGCCTGACCTCTCTTTTCGTCTTCGAGAGAGAAGCACAAGTCAATAACAGAGCGCGATAAAGATGCAGAATTTAACTTCAACCTAAAGCCAAATGTGTAATTTTTTTAAGCAAATCCTGAGATCTTTGTCTCCTTTACAAAAGCACTTATTTCCCCAAATTTCTGTTGGATTAAGTAAATATACCGTCTGAGGTGCTTACAAGTTCTTTATCTTTTTGGTTATAATAATTATAAAAAACCTAAAATATTAATTCTGAGAAAAAGGAGAAATCTAAGGGATAATTTAAAAATATATATATACATTTAATAAATAATTATACATTTAAAAATCCGTTTTTAGGGCTTTAAAATTTTAAACAACATTTAATACTTTTATAAAGACCGATGTTACTGAGAAAATAAAAAAAAATGTTTAAAAGGCAGAGGTCTCAGGAGAATCTGTGTCAAAGACAACTTTTTTAATACAATAAGGTAAAGGGGAGCCATCATCTTTATAATGACAATTAAATTGCCACACAAGCCTATGGTACTGATTATGCTGCAACAACAACAAACTAAAGAGGGGACAAAAGACAAAATTATTTCTAAAAATCAATTTTTAGAAATTTTAATTTCTGAAATGTATTTATTGTTTCAGGCTTTAAAGGACTACGAAACATTGTGAATTTTTAAAGAGATTCATGTTTTTGAACAAGTTATTGGCTTACGGAGGCATACAACAAATACTTTGGTGTGGTATTATTAAAGGCGCTCTGAGGTTTTTCATCCACACAAAATATGTTAGCGATGATTCATACATAAAAATTACAATAAGAAATTTTAAAAACTGGAGATGTTTAACAAAGAAAGTCTCATAAAATGTTAAATGTTTACAAAAAGCTGAATTTCCTACTTTTTTTTTCTACTTACACTTCTTTGAATCTTGATTTAATAGGGAAACCATGTTCTTTTTAAAAACAGAAAATAAAACTATCATAGTCAAACAAAGAACCAAACAAAGACTTCAAGTTAAAAGAGGAAACCCTCAGAGGGAAAAATAAGACCGCCATAGGAGCCGTTTGGTTGTTTTGCATTTACATTGAACTTTTGTCCGCTGAATGTGTATTCCCACTCAATCTGTGTGATATTGTCTATGTGGCAGGAAGTAGAAGCAGGCTGATTCTGATGCCAGGGCTGTGGAGAAAAAAAAAAAAAGAAGACTAGGAAAGGCTCTCTAACAAACAAACAAACAAACAAACAAAAAAAAAAAAGAGGAGCAGTGAAATGCATAGGAGGATCAATACACATAAGACGGAAGAGCGTATTCATGCATGTGAGCAGACACTTGCCAAAATACAAACACACAGCGAGACCCATCCCCCTCTGTAAAGGTTGTGGTGTCAGGACCCCTTGGGTGGTCAGACTCAGGATGATTTCGACACAATATGATGCTGTGAAGCAGCCCTTTAAAAAAAAAATAAAAAAGAAAAAAGAAAAGATGTTCACTGCCTGTTTTTACTGTCACATTTGTATAAAGCTCAAATGTTGTGTAAGCTTCCATTTTTTTCTCACTGGGGTTAAAATGTATTTAAACAGTGTGATGATCTGTGGTTACAAAAAGCCTTTTCTACTCACAGACGCAGCATGAAAACTGTTCTTTTTTTCGCCAGCATGAAAATACGACTCATAATGACTCCACAATGGTTTATTCTAATGGCTAAGCTCTTAATCTATCAGATCAGATTTCAAAGTGCCAGAAGCTGTGCCAAGGCAGGTTCCAGGAAGGAAAACCCTTTTGTTGGTTTGGGGGGGGCGATGTTGAAATTTCAAATGTGGGACCAGACTTCATTTTTGAATGAATGAAAAAAAAAAGAGAAAAGAAAAAGGTATGATATGGTGTGAAAGCACCCTAAAAACCTAGCATCATTAGGAAACAGCAAGTGCTTGTTTTTGCTTCCGCCTTTGGTGCACCGACAGTGCTTTGCCAGCATGTCAGACCTCAGGTACGGCAAGATAAATAGCCGTCTTATGTGTGCTTGTGAGAGCTAGGCTCCTTGTGGGGTGGTGCTCCCAGCTTCACGCTCCAGCAGCGCTGAAATAAAGCTCTGTTCGAGGCATTTCAACACCGCTTAAGGTTGTCCTTTGCCGTGTAATTTATGAGCTGAGAGGACTCCGTTTCTAAAGTTAACCGCGACCTACAATCTTCCAGCATTCATGGGTGGAGAAAAGAGCTGTGTGAGTCATAGGAAACTTACAACACTGCTCCACTTACCTGAAACAGTCTGAGGGGTGCCCACGATTCTCTCCCTGGTGTTTGGTTCAGTTGCTAAGCGTGGAGGTGATGTGACCCAAACTAATTGGATGTCCAGGTACTTTAACAGGTTAGCTGTCATCTGTAGGGTCAGTGTAGAGGTGCCAGGATGAGGTGAGGAACACTGGCTTCTCACCACAAGCTTCTCAGTGGGTGGTCAGATGGAAGCACAGAGAGGCAGAAAGACAGACAGACGGGCGATTTGCAAGGATCCTCTTGGTTGCAAGTACATTATAAAAAAGAAAATGAATCTTAAAATGGAGACATGTTCATATTTCTTTTAATGTTAAAATTAAGTTCAGACAAATTGTGAATGTGAAGCATGATGCTTTTAATTTCTGTTTTAAACAAAACTATAATTATGGTAGCATAGTTTTCTCCTTTCAGACCCAAGTTTATATATATATATATATATATATATATATATATATATATATATATATATATATATATATGCATATATATATGCTGAGAATCATTTTAGATCTGTCAACATTTAAATTTATATTGCCCTTCACTAACTTACTCACTATATTTTATTGCTGTGGTGCCACATAAAGGGAAATTGGACTGCACATTATCAGCTGATTTACATGTTGTTGCATCATAAAACTAAATGCCTGTGTAAGTATGCTTTGTTTGCATAACATTATTAATAAGAGCAGGAAAGAGGCATAACATAAAAATTACTGGCGTTTTGAAATTGCTACATGTAAGTTTTTGCTGTTTAATTCAAACAATTTGGAAAATATGTGTTGAAAGATTATTGCTTGTTTAAAAATATACGAAAGCAATTATGTATGCATTAGATATATTTAATAAAAATGTATTAAATTATTAAACAAAATGCACTGTAATTTCACTTCATAATAATACATTTAAATATGCATGTACTTCACAGTATTTGCATTACATAAATTGTTCTAAAATTTTAACCAGTGTGAGGGTCATTGCTTTGGTCCGGTCCAGGGTTACCATAACCACTGGTTATGGTGACCCAGTTTGGATGTTTTTTCTTTTTTTTTCTATACTTTATCTTTGGGGTCAACCAAAATTCAAAGAATTTACTTGTGCTTTCTAAAAATGTGTGCAATGAGAACTGAACACTATTTAGTTACATTAATATAATTTAATTAAAATCCCTTTTAAATGTTTTTAAGTATTTAGAGTTTGTAGTAACTTAAAATAAAGGTTTCCTTTAATTTCTTATATTATGCACATATCAAATTTTGTTTAGATTTTTTTTTTTTTTTGCAAAAAAAAAAGAAAAAAAGAAAAAAGAAAATGTATTCAGCACACATCTCAACTAGACACAACTATACCATCATATACCTTTTAAGCAGCCTATCAATGTCAACACCCGGTAAACACCTTTGACATACAGGCTTGAATGCGACAAGCGAGTTAACTAAACATTCCTGGGTGTTCTCCGTAAAGGCTCCCTCTTCCACAGGGCTGCACTGACCCATCTCACAGTCCAAACCCCACTTCAGAAAGATGCGCTAAAAAAATACTTTTCCTCCACGTTTTATCTTTGTGTATTTTAATTGCACAAAAGAATACTAAGACCCGTTAAAGTATCAAAACATTTTCAGGTGGAATAGTTACGATGCAGATTTCTTTGTAAATGCGATTTAAAACGGGAAGAGAGGGGAAAAAAAAAAAAAAAAAGCTCTGTGAGGATTTGTGAATTTGGGAGTATAATTCCGGCCCCAAGCTTATCTGCACACCCAGACTATTTGAGTGTTTTGAGATGCGGGCTCCCCGAGGACGGATCGAAGGCTTCCTAGTAGAACTGCACATCAAATAAATAGGAGGATGGGATTTATATGGAGGCTGTGTCTCTGTCAAACAGGGCTCTGCTGACTGAAGTGATCCCCACGGCCCGAGCGGAGGAGAGGAGGGAGAGGAAGCCTCGGAGGGAAGAGGGATAGCTCTGGAGGAGCCTCGCTGACGCACTCACGCTCACACAAACTCAAACACAATGTCCCCCTCAGTCCTGAGCTGTGACCGGCCCGTGGCATTGCCCAGGTATGTCAACTATGTTTGCCAAGCCATCCATCAGCAATTCTCCTTCCCTCTTGAAACAGGAACTTTTGTTTGAGACACGCACTTGTTCAGTCCGTCATTTGACTCAATTCAACCAGTTAATTTTCTTAAAAATGAAACAGAGGATTAGTTGCTACTTTTAAAAAAATTCTCATTATTTCCCTCCTATTTCAGGTTCCACAGCACAAATGTGCATGTCAAGGCAAGTTAGTACAGTTTAGGGACATCAGTGGCCCTTATCGCTGGTGACCAGGGTTAGCAAATAAAAAACACTGTAGAGAAGTTGAGCTGCATGGAAGCAGGGAAAGATTTATAGCTTTCCCTGCATGACACTCTCGCAAGACAAAGGCGTCCTTTTTTTATTTTCTGGTTAAGTGCTTGGATCAAGTTGGGACAGAAAAGAAAAGAAAATGTTGGATGACTGAAAGGTGTTATTTGTTATTTGTCATTTGTATGATACCTAAATGAAAAACAAATACCAGAAACCAACATATCATTACATTTAAGCGAATTTCCCCCGGTGACGTAAGCACAAGCATTCACCGTTGTTGGGCAGGTCGAACCGACTGCAATCCTCTCAGAAAGAGGCGACGTGTGGGCTGGTATGTTTGCTAAAGCACCTAAAGTTTGCTAGCTGGAGCCTTACTTCATTCCCTGAAACACAACCTTAATTTATCTTTTGCCTTCCACTCAGTGCCAGAGAGAGAGCAGATATCACTAAAAGTGCCATGTTAATGATTGACTCCTGGCGCACTGAGCATCTGAGATCGAGTGGCCACTTTGCCTGCACTTGTGCTGCATTTTCAGCCGTAAATGTTTGTGGTCCCACTATCCTCTTCAGGTTTCCATACAGTATTATTAGCACTGAAGGGGAGGTTAGGGTGGGGCCGAAACAAAGTTTCAATAAAGAACCATTGGCATGCTGAGGTAAATGGCAGATAAGAGTTTGTCTCCGACCCTTTCAGTGCTTTTTATATGAATGTGGCTGAGCAAACCTAATCTCCCCCTTCCAGATAAATCTGTCCCTGCTTTGTGAAAGCAAGTTCGTGCATTTGTATTACTCCCCTGCTCCAAAGTCGACTTTGACCAACTTGAAATGAGTCCCAGATTTCTCATTGACGGTTCAAGATGAAGAGCAAACTGAGATTAGGGGATGTTAATTAATTGCAGGGACTGTCCAAAAAAGCCTTTCCCTTTTTTATTTGCCCTCATGCCAATCAGTTTTTAATTTTTACTTCTGTTAATGATGCAAAAAAAAAAAAAAAAAAAAAAAACTGAAAGGATTATTTTCTGTTAAAATGCTAAAAGCCATACATATCTAACTACATAACATTGCCAATCCTGGTTTGCCATCATGGAAGGTAAAGGTAATTGCTAGTCTGTCATAGACCTTTACCAGCACAGACTTCTTCTGTCTTGGGGGATGAAGCAGTGTAAGAATGAAATACTAATATTTTAGCATTTAATAAAATGTTAATCTATAGATTTTTAATGTGATCAGATCAAATTAATTCAAGCAGTTAGAATTAATTATCCTAATTAATCGAGTTTTTATCAAATGCTAATTTAAGCGAAGAAAATAAGTCAAGCCTTTTGGTTCGAATACATTTTGGTTGATGATTTTTATTTTATTTTTTCAATTATTTTCAATGTCATCTTAAAAAGTCCTGTACATATTTTGGCTCTGAACCTTATCTGCTCTACTCACTTGCTGGACTGTCACAGCTAACTTTAATTCTGGAGACATTTCTTGCAGCAAGATATTTTGCACTCAGTTGAAAATGCATAATCAAAGTGGTGTGATGATTGGAAAACACTTTGTGTGATTTTCACACAGCGCACGGTCTTATTTAAGGTCCAACTGGGTCAAATAACAAAAAAGCTTCACCCAATCAACCACTCAACACAGTTTCCATTCCAGTTCACCGAACACTATGATGCCCTTTATCTGACCACACACATCCTGCGCATCTTCTTTCTGGTCGACAAACTTTAGTTACAGTACTACCAGCCACAGCGCTGGAGAGGATCCATCATCATTAATACTGACAGATAAATAGTTATCAGCTTCATTACAAATAATTGTCTAAAACATAATAATTATCAAAGCTTTGTAGTGATTGCTCAGTCCACTGAAATGTTTTTAAAATTAAAGTTGCTCAAAAATGGCAAACGTCTGACTTTGCTTTGGCCCCTTTTAAACTAATCAGTAGCTGCAGTAGGACTAAAAAATCTGAATTTATAGTAAATTGCTAAATTACTAGTTCTTGTCAGGTAAGACATCAAATGCTTCTAGTTTTTCAACCGAAATGTGTTAAAAACTAGCCAAAGCGGCAGGATGTAACTCTATGAAAAATATATATTTTTATGATATTTGTATTTGTTAAGACTGTCACTATGTTGTGGCAGTATGGCATGAGACCTTCTCTCAGTGTTACTATTGCCATCTGCAGAAGTGCATCGCCTCAGAAACAACCAATCAGAGCCAGTAGGAGGATGTTAGCGCTGTCAAACATGCTCATATACATGCTGATCAAATTACTAATGGCAGAAAAAAAATGGGACTACTGTTTATCCGCAATCATTGGTGGCCATGTTAACTTGCCATGGCAGGCTCTGTTGTCGAGAAGAAGCTGCAGTATAACAGAGAGAAAAGGGGAGGGTGTGGGCAACATCTAGACAAGCATAATTAACAGCACTGGGACCCTCCTCCTTACTCTGATTGGTTGTTTCTGACCAAATTTCCACTGATACTATTGGAAACACCGGAAGAAGTCAGAGAAAGGTGAATGTTTTTGAGCAATTATCTGTATACTTTACTGCCACAACAGAGTAACAGTTTGAACAAATATATATATAAAAAAATATGTTTCAAATAAAAGTTACATACTGCAGCTTTAATTGTCCATTTAAAACTCTCTGTTTTGCAATCTTGTTCTTGACAGACGTAAAAATGTGACTCAAATTTCAGAACATGAAGCAGCTACACTGCAGTTGTCACATGAAGATACTTCAAAAGGAGCTTTATCGTCTGTCAGCTCGAATATGTCACCATAACCTCACAATGTTTAAATAGATCCAGATTATCTCCCTTTAGTTATTGCTGCGTCATGGTTATATTTTATTTTTTTGAAAACCTTGTGTACAAACCGTAGGTTTCAAAACCGAGTGACAAGGCTTGTCTCTGCGACGAGACTGTTGGGTCTCAGGATAATGATGAATCAAGGGGAACAATAAGTGTGAGCTTTGTTAATTTAAAACATAGTAATGCACGGTAATGTCACACTATGTCACTGTTCTTTCCATCCTCTGCAGAAATTCATGGATGTTCCTGTGAGGGCACACATCCAGGCAGACCCACTTTCACCTCCCTGCATCATTTGAGCTGAAAGCTCCTTCCTGTCGATGCACTTGGCTATATCTGCGTCTGACCTGTCTGCCATATGTAATATCAAAGCCTCTGTCAGCACGGAGCTGAATGGGAACAAAAGAGATGCCTCTATTAATGATTAACTGTTCTAAAAGCCCCGGCTTTTGTATTCCCATGGTGCCCAGGCTATCTGGCCACCATGTGACATGCTCACAGCATTTTTTGAGCAGATTGGGGGAAAGCTAGTGAGCAAACACAGGTGCTTTGGAGCAGCGGTGCCGACGCTGTCAGGGACAACCACAAACAAGAGCAGCTATGCCTGGCTAAATGAATCCCCACCCCTCCCAGCACCATCACCACCTCCTCAACCCCCCGCTCTGTCACCAGCTAACTTGTTTGCTAGCTCACTATAGCTTTCTCCTTCTGCCTGGTCGCCGCCCCCTCCACCCGCCCCTCTTCCTTGCACAAATGCAATGTCCGCTGCAGCCAGGCTCCAGAACTTCTCACACTCTCCAAAGAAACAAACAAATAAAAGTGAGGACGGCCGACCACTTCTTTGAGGTGATGGCATTTGCTTCGGTCATGACTAGTGGGAGAGCAAACAAATTAATGGTGTCCGTGTTTTCACTTTCTAAACCAAACTAAATGTCTTTTAGTTCAAGTGGGGCAATACGACTGACCCCGGTGTCAAATGCTGCGTAATGGTTGCACACTCTTGCACTTGAAATGCTGAGAAGAGGCCATAAGAAATTAACCAGAACTTGAGTATTGCTATATAGAAGTAGAAAAATAACAAAGTAAACTTGTAAAAATCAAAATAATCTATTGAAAAGGGAGAGTATTTTAGCAGCAAGCTGTAACCAAAGATGACTGAAGTGCTTAACCTTTTCATCACGGTGACTTGGGGTGCTGTGTCTCTCAAGTTTGATAAGACAATCAGATGATAGGATGGCGTTATCTTAACATGGCTTTTCCGGCTGGGAGACAAATGAACAGCGAGTGATAAAGGGAACAAAAGCTTTGCTCTTATAGGCCGGTACCTCAGAGCAAAGGGAAAATTATCAGAGTGGAAAATTCACAGAAGGTGCCCATATCTCATTTTCAATTTGGCTCTCAAGCTAAATCACAGGAACAGCTTTTTTTTTTCTTTTTTTTTCTTCTTCAGCATTTTATATCTTTATTATCTAATGATGGATTTTGGGTTTGAAGACTGCACGTACCTGACCCTGTAGATCAGTTATCAAAGGATAAAAGTGATAAAATGCTTCACAAAAACTGAGCATCAGGGAGAGAGGAAATAAATCTATCAACATACAAGTAGCAAAAACAGAAAAAAAAGGTCTGGCTATAAAAGATGAGAAATCAAGGAAAAAGCGAAAATGTCAGCGCTGTTTCTTGTGTTTGAGATGAACAGTGTCTTCCAGAAAAAAAAAAAAGTGAAATGTGATTTCTTCTTGAACCCTCCACTGATCAATGAAACCTCAATTGTCTTTAAGTTCTCTGACTTTTGCAGCCTATTTCTCACAGTAAGAAAAAATATGTATGCACATGGATGTGGTCCAAAATCTTGTTTGCCCATATCCCAAAGAAATGATTGGAACTAGGTATAATTTAAAACTGAAAAAAGTGTCATGTATGAATAAAGTATTTTATTTTTTCAGAAATGTGTTGTGTGTTATTCAGGATATGATTTTCTCTATTCCTCCTCATTTTTTTTCCAAATCCTGAGCACCCATGGACTTTGTGGATTTATAAGGTTGGCCAGTTCTTGTTTTTCAGGAGCCCAAAAAAATTTGTTGGAAGTGTGACTTTTTAAGCTAAAACGTCACATCCAAATCTAGCCTAAACAAAGATGTTGAAAAGTCAGGCTTTGTTAGCCTATTTGATCAACCCAAACGACCTTTCCGCCACATGTAGACATCGACAGATGTCTTTATGAGGACGTGTTTTCAACTTTCATTCTTCAAGTCCTATTTTATGTTGTTTTTTCGCCAACACAGCCTTGAAAAGTCCGGAATTTGATTTCATTCATCTTCAGTCTTCATAAGTAAGAAAAAAAAAAAATCTTTGTAATAATAATAATAAATCTATTAATATTTTAGATTTATATGTGAAATGTCTCATTTCTTGTTCATTTGCAACATCATTAATGGGATTTCTGCCCAGTTTTCTTGGATAAGTTGAGTTTTTGAGATTTTGGAGCTAGAGGTATCCTCACTTATATGTTTTCTGAAAGGTTCATCTTCTTGCTTTTTTGGCCTTTAGACCCTATGGTTTTACACTAGTTGAATGAACTGAAAAACATATTTTAAATTTTTCCAACACAGATTTGATAAATGTAGGTAAAATAAATTTTAAATACACTTGATGTAGTTCAGAAGCCTAAAAAAGTTGTAAAATATCCCCTTACGATACTCTTAAATTGGAATTTGATGTAATTGTTTTTGACAGATTTGCCTTCCTTTCACCATTTTTCCTTTCATAATTGAGTTTAAAATAAGAAGGGGTATGAGTTCATCTCATTTCTGCTTTTCTAGTGATTCCCTGCAAGGATTTAGCTTATCCTCCACGTGAGCAGAGTCTGATCAGAAGAGCTACAAATCCTCTGCTTCAGGAGTTTGACTGTAGTGCACAGGCCTGCAGGCCACAGTACAGAGTTGGGGCTCCAGCACCTCAAGAGGGATTTGAGACAACATCTTTGTTGCCTTCTCATTGTACAGGCCTGAAAGTCGTCCAGCCACATTGTCTGTCCAGACTCCTCTCAAACCTCGGCTGCAGTCAAAAGAAAAGTTTTCCAGTAATGAGGTAAGACATGAAAGCCACCCAAACACAGCGACATGTTGAAAGGGCTCGTTTGATCTTGCCATGCACAATGGTAAAATTTGAAAAGAGCAAGGTGTGCTTTAAAACTGCAATGCACCGCATTAACCCCTTGTCTTTTGACAGGTCCACACCTAGAAAGATGTAATATTCCACTCAATAGAAAATGTAGATCCTGAGTAATGGCCTCCTTGTGGATCGGAGGACCTTTGTTCTAATTCTGCTTGCTGCTTTTAAACACAGTCTGCTCAAGAAAGACTGAGTTGCCTTTTGTTCAAAACTCTTTTACGTAAAAAAAACCCCACACTTGTTCTTTGTAGTGGTACCTTAGATAATTCAGTTATATTTTAACTGGTGTTTTCATAAAAGTTGTGGCTCCTGAAACCGCAGCGTAAAAATGTAGTGCATTTAACGCAGTGAGACAAAAGACACTCAACAGCATTTTGGTGGAGCAGAGAGATTACCATGCAGTCGGCCATGGCAGTCACGGGTCAGTGCAGGCCGACTCTGTCTCCAGACTCTGTTAACTAAGTGGGCCAGCACTATCTCTGTTCAGCCACCAAACAGTTTGTTGACTTCTCAAGGAATGCTAATAAAACTCATCGTCTATTTTGAGAGATAGATCTATTGGAGCATTTCAGCATTCCATTAAGGAACTGATTTTGATCTGGTATGAATAAACCTGTTAAGCTATAGCAATGTTCATAAACTCAAGAGTCTCACTCAGTGGTTAAGCAGGCTTCTCTTTTCTTTGGCTTTTTGCTTTCTCATTGAACCAATGACTCCACCCTCCTCTAGGCATCGTGTCCTTCTTTGAGATAAGTTGTCAAAGTGGACCGACAAATCGAAAAGTTGTAGACTTGGGTAATGCAAATGATACCTCATATTAAACAGGCGTTAAGAAAAAGATTAATCTGTTACTGTCCAAGACCAAATATTTAGGCTGAAACACAATAAGTTGGGAGTAAAAACAGCTTTTCAGATTGAAAGTGTCAAACATATATGACAAGTATACTGTATATTCATGGTTTGCCACATTATTCAATATTTACAGCAGTGATTAATCATGGATTAGTTTAAAACTTTCTGAATTATCCTTTTAAGGTTAATATTAGACAAAGTTTGAAATATGTTCATGTGCTGACATCAAGCTAAAAACTTTCTTGAGCAGTACAAAAATATCCATATGTTGGAGATCAGCACACGACCTGCATGTAACAGGATTGTTTCTATATAAAAAAAAACAAAAAAAAACAAAAAAACTTGCAGGGATATTCTTAAGTGAGAGAGAAAACAAGTTAAAGTAAGTGAAATATCAACTTTCACTTTTACTGGTATACACTATACCAGTAAAAATCAAAGTAAATTATCTTCCAATTATATGTTCTGGCTTAAGGTCACACTATAAATCACAAGGAATTTTTTGACCCTCCAAACCTTTAAAAGTTTGCAAGCAACTTGGTTCTTTCACGGCTGTTGTCATGGACTGTTTCAGTGTGTTCGTTTTCTACATGGAGTCGTAAGACAAAGGCAACCCACTCAGGTAATGGATCGACTCTGAACAAAATCTGTTTAGGTCGAAGACCTCTGGTCTGCCTTCGTCATGCCTGAACTGAAGCCAGTGACAGACATCCAGCCTGACGCCTCACTCAAAGCAAAAACAATGTCGATCAAGCTGCCAGAGGCTTTTCGCGGCTGTTCCAATAACCTTCCATTCACTGCAACGCCTGTCCGTCTCTTTTATGAATACAGCTTGTGTCCCTTGTGTTCAATTACCTGAGTCAATATGGATGTATTGAACCTCGACATAGGAGCCGAATCATAAAGTGTATATACAAGAGCAGGGATGTTATGGTCGTCTCAGTGGGGGGCAGTGAAAATTACACCGGCTCAGGAAGTAAACAATGTGGTAATATATGAGAGCAATGATGGAAAAAAAAAAGTGGAGAGCTTGTGAATTTTCTTCCACTGGATTGACTAAATATGTTGATCTACTTCACATTATTGCATCCTTTAAATTTCATTTGTTTGTTAAAATAAAAGTCTGCATGCCCGCATTAATGCCTGCGTGAAAGGGTTCAAATGAGACCTTGTGTGCTTTGCGTGTATGAGACAGCTGCCTCTTTTTGCCACATGCACACACACACACATACACACACACACACAAAACACACAAAGACTCACTCAGGTAGCAGCTGGGCAGGCTCACCTGTCATATTAATAAAACTAGACAATCCCTTCCATCAGCAGCAGAGCTGCAGCAGCACAGGCCAAAGCAGGGAGAGAGAGACTGAACAAAGTAGCAGAGACACACAAAATGGAAACGTCTGAAATACAAAATACATATTCAAAATGAGAGTCCTAATAATGATTTATCATGTCTAAAAGTGAATAATAATGTTAATTTGTTTTCATAGCAAATATCAAATAGTCAAATTTATAAAATCTTATATTGTACAAAAAACTCTTGCAAAGTGACCAGGAATCAATACACACTTAAAACCCATGGTTCTGTACTGAGCTGGCCCAATACACGTGTGTTGTCCTTAAGACATTTCTTTAAATAAGTAAGTTCATAAAGTTAAATAAATAATTCTAAAAGTATTTCTGTGTAATTAAAAATGATTGCAAGTTGTTTAGACAAACAATTCATGCTTTATATGAGTTTGTATAAAAAAATAAATAAATACATGATCGGTAAATTCTACTTCCGGTTCCTGTCCCGTACTTCCGGTTCCGGTCCCGTACTTCCGGATTTCCAGTTTTGCTTCGAAAACAAAGGTTCACATGCAAGAGGCAGCATGGAAATGTTACCAGATGCCATCCACTCTGAATTGTCATGTAGGAACGCTGTAAGTTGCACCATATGGCAGCTTATACTGTTTAGTTGAATATTATTGCTGATTTTCCTGTAATGTTATTTTAGCGAACTTGAACCACTTAATTTGGGTATATATGTCTACATGTTGAGATAGAGCATATTTTTTGTCATTTCAGTTTTCACCACATGTTCATGAAGACAATTAAACAAGCTGCAACTAAACTCCAGGGTCTTCATTTGTGGTTTAACTCGGTGTCACCAACAGCTACGTTGAAAACACTACAACATGTGTAAACTAAGTAAGGTCATAGGTCCCCAAAATCAACAGGGGGTCCTTAAGACCACAAACATCTAACATGAAAGGTATTTTTTTTTATTAAATGAGTGATTACTAATACATTTAATGCTTTGTCCATGAGTGGGATCCATCCATCCATCCTCTTTCAGGGGTCACTGGTGCCTATTTCCAGTGGGTAGAAGGCAGTACACACCCTGAACAG